TGGATTTGAACCCGCCACCTTAGGTGTATATGGCTGGTGCCTTAGTCATTTGAGCCACAGGCGCCGAGCCTCACGTTTTTCAAGAATATTAAGTTATAGTAAACGTCTGGTGACAAACTTTGTAACTTTTCCCCTCCACTTTGCTGAATGTTGTCTGCAGGATTAGGTCAGGTTGGAACCACTCGCCCAGGGGCCATTCCTCTGCAGCAAGGGCCTGGCTGGGTGATGCTTCTTGCATTACAAAGGCAATTAGCGACTCCAGGGATGTGTGTGACCTGTCACCGGGGCTGCCTCTGGCCCGGGAGAGAGGCTTCAGAGGGAAATCTTGGGAAAGCGCAGCAGGATCCCAGATCTACTGGGAATGGGGTGACGGGGTCCAGACAGCTCTTACTGGAATCACCCGGACCCCAGGGTGGGCGGCTCCTTCCCGGGCCCAGGCGCCCAGCGGCACGACCGCGGGGCTGCGGTGCGGGGGCAGCAGCGAGGGCAGGAAGTGCACGTTGTAGGCGGGCTGCGGGGCGGGCAGCGCGGCGTCGTCCAGCGGGGTGAGCTCGGGCAGCCCCGGGTACTCGCCCAGGGCCTCCTCCTCGTCGCTGGCGTCCACCAGCAGCTCCACCTTGACCTTGCCCGCGCCGTCCCCGCCCAGCGCGGGGCTGAACGCGTGCAGGAGGGGCTCCTGGGGCTCGGCCGGGCCCAGGTAGGCGTCCTGGAACACGTGGAACTCGTCCTCCTCATGCTTCACCACGGCTGGCGGCTTCGGGGCGAGGTTTTCCGACACGAACGGACTCTCTGGGCTGAACAGCTCGGTCACCATCTCCTCCTCGGGGCTGGGTACCCCGCCGAGCAGCGAGGCTTCCTCCATGGCCGCAGAGGCGACCGGCGTCACCCGCGCCCTGCTCCGGCGGGGCCGCGCACCTGCAACGACGCGGCCAGGTGAGGCGGCGCCGCCCGCTGTCGCCCCCGCGGGGTCCGCCGCCAGCACCCGCGAGTTCACCGAGGGCCCACCGGCCCCCTCCCTGCCTGCAGGCCGAGGTCGGCCCGGGGGTTGAGGGGAGACGCAACAGGGGACACCTGGTCGGTCGGGACTACTCTGAGGTACACGCCACAGGCCGCCGGCTGTAGCGGGCAGATGCGGGAGGCGGGGCCTCGCGCCAGCAGACGTTGGCAGTTAGGTAGGGGGCGGGGCCAGTGAAGGGGCGGAGTCGAGATCCGGACTGGGAAGATGTGTGGGCGGGGCCAAAGGTTGGTGGGGTGGAGCCTGAAATCCCGACACTTGGGGAGGCGTGGCCGGGGCCCAACAGGACTGGCAGCTCGAGGCGCAGGTGGGGAAACTTGGGTCTGGACCGAACCTAGGTGGGATTACCTAGTCGTTTTGGTTTGTCGGAGGCAGGGTTTCACCGTATTGCCCCAGCTAGAGTGCAGTGGCATAACCATAGCTCACAGCATCCTCAACTCCTGGGTTCAAGGGATCCTCCTGCCTCAGGCTCCTAAATAGCAGGGACTACCGGCGACCATCACCACCATGCCCGGCTGATTTTCTGTTTTTAGTAGAGATGGAGTCTTGATCAGGCTGCTCTCCCAATTTATGACCTCAAGCGATCCTTCCACCTCAACCTCCCAGAGTGCTAGGATTACAGGTGTGAGCCAACCTGCTTGGCTTTATTTAATTGCACGTTAAAATAAACTTTTTCCAACAGAAAAGCTGAAAAGATAGTACAGAGAATTCCTATGTACTCCACACCCAGCTTCCCCTATTAACAACTTTACATTAATGGGAAGGCTAGGATTAGAGGCCTGAGCCACCTCCCAATGAAAGCTCATGTAGTGAGAATAGAATGGAGTCAGGCAGGCCAGGAAAGACATGACACACACAGCTGGACTGGTCAGTTTAGGTCCTGTCTGACCTTTCACCCCATGTCCCATTCTTACTGTTTTGTAAATTTAGCTCTCACCTAAAGATGCCTATCTTGAATAGTTAGATTGATTTAAGAGATTAACTTTTGGGCTCTGCGCCTGTGGCTCAAGCGGCTAAGGCGCCAGCCACATACATCTAAGGTGGCGGGTTCGAATCCCCAGCCCGGGCCTGCCAAACAACAATGATGGCTGCAACCAAAAAATGG